GCAGAAAGAGAAAGAGAGAGGGAACAGCATAATTGGTCACACTGCAGACTGTATCATCAGCTGACCTCTTATGTTCCAGTCTACCTTTTAGCAATGGTAAACAGGTTTACCCAAAGCTTTCTGTGCTACTGTGACAATAATGCATTCTACGTACCCTTCAAAATTTTGCAACTCAAATATTTTTAACTCTTCTAATGGAAAAAACAACAGCAGGATGGACTGGAAACAATGTAAAGTGCAGGGAAAAGGAAAAAAATATTTTATTTAATTAAACAAGACAAGAAAAGAAACCTTAACGGAGTGCCAAACATTGACAAAAGGTAAACTGGAGAGTCATAATCGCATTCTGATGAGTTCTACAATTCCAGTTTATTTTTTGGCAAAAATTTGCTTTAATGTTAAGGTTTAAAAATAAGATTTCAATAGTATTTATATAGTATATATAACATATTCTATGACATACATTCTTGGTTGTTATATTAGCCAAAGAGAAAATAAGTATTGCAACATTTTAAGTTCTGAATAAAGTAGACACAAAAATGAGGCTATTCTTCAGGATAGTTCATCTACACTATTAAAAAGAGTGGGTCTTTTGTTATATTCTAAAATCCTGTAGTGCATGAAGAATCCAGATTACCTTGTGTAAAAACTGTTTGGGCAACAATGCCACGTCTTATGAAAAGTGTTTCTGCAGTGCTCGATCTACAATAGAAAAACTACAGCTTTAACAGTTTGGGGATATTCAAATATAAACAACAGGGCCTAAACATTATATAGGTCCAATCAGAGGAACACCAAAGTATAGCAGTCCACCCTATTATCAACTGACATTATTAAAAATAACTCCATGTATCTGAACAAGTATAGTGTTATCAAGACAATATGATGCAGCCAGGAAGATTCAGTCATTTGCTCAGTACTCAAGTTAACACACTGAAACTCGTAGAAAAGTACACATTGAGTGATCACATGACAAACCTGTATCTCTAACTGCTGTACCACCTGCATTTGCACCCGACACTGGGCAGTGCTTCGGTCGTCCAATGCATGCTCATTGTTAAGGTGCCTATGAAACACAAGACACAAAACAGAATGATGAGTGATACCTAGTGATTGATTTTAAAAGTACTACCTCTTTGAGGAGCATATAGATTCCTCTGAAGCTGGACAGCAGAATGCCTTGAAGCCATAAAGAAGGCAAATGTACTTCAATGTTCAGTGATAATTACTTGTGTGATACAAAAAGAGTCTTGAAATAGTTAAAAAATGTCATCATCTCTAGGCTTATAACATTCCAGAAACATTCTCCATCCACTTATAGAGCAGAAGTAGAAATCATGATGTATTTCACATACTTTTACCATTTTCTCTGAAAAGAGTATTATGTGTGTATGTATATGATAGGCAATTTTCTATTTCATTTTTATTAAAAAATTTTTGTTACTTGTATATTGGTATTTTGAGAAGCATCTTACATCAGGATGTGATATGAATTGTACAAAGTTGAAACATCCATACCCACAATTAATAATAATTTTATGTTTCTAATACATAAAACACATTGAAGATTCAGAATAATGATACTGATATTTCATGTAAAGAGTCAGAATTGACACAAATCTCTAACATACATAAACATAGTTAAAGAGGTCATTCTAATGATGTTACTCTGATGATAACATGTGTGCTTATTATTTTACATAAGGGCTAAAGTATCTCCAATGCATGGTATCTCACTCTACCAAAATTACACTTTCAATAAGCATGGAAATATTCCATAACATTTGCTTTGTAATTTATAATATATTATTAGATGGCTTCCCAAATTAAGAAAGTAGTATTCAGGTTAATTAAGTTTCTTTTGTTATGGCTATATAACTTATGGGTAAATGAAGACAGTATCTTAAGAGACACAGGAAGGAAAAAGGTATATTGAATAAAACACGTAATTAGGAATTCATATAATTACCTCTATATATTACAGTATTATTAAAGATAGTTTGAAAGCATTTCTCATAATTCTAAGCATACTGAATTTAAGAAATAACTGTCTTCCCATTTCACTTATGCTTCTTGAAGTGAATTAAGCAGAAAATGCATGAACAGATGCATATATGATGCAATACGAAGACTTAAGGTGTCAGTGACTCATAGCTAATGTGTAAATACGTGGGATTATCTGCTAGCAGGTCTAGGTTCAGACATCAGAAACCTTTGCTCCTTTCCACCCCAACTTTGATAAATTAGGCCAGTTTGTTTTAACACCTTTTCACTGATTATAGCAACAAACCTCCATGCATCTTGCTATAATTGCCAGGCTTGGCTGATGATAAACTGTGGACTAAAATAGTGAGGTGGATCAGGTCAGGCTGGAGTTGTGTGCCCAGGGCACATGAGAGCTCCTTCCCACACCTCCTGTCTGCTCTGACTCAGCTCCAGCAGGATGTGCTAGAAACCTGGCTGTAATGAGGGTGGAATCATTCAAGCTCTCTGGGAAGAGAGCATGGAATGTCAGAGTACGGCAAGCATAAGTGAGTGGTGTAAAATGTCACTAATTTCTAATAAACAAAACATCATTAAAATATTCTTGAAGGTTTTATCCCCCAAATTCTAATACACAATGGAGCAATGTCCCAGCAGTATTAGCATAATAATTTGTTGCATCCTTAAGGTTTGGTATTACTGTGTTTTTGTGAGATATATTTTTCTTCCACCATGAATACACACATAATTTATCCTGCAATCAGCCTACAAGATGAGTATTTTAAAATAAGCTATACATAAAAATTAGGATATAAATAGAGCACAGAAGATAAACAGACGTGGTTTTACCTGAATAGATATACTCAGTATAACATATACTTTTATGTGAAATCACTTTTTAAAAAGAATTTTTGTACTTGTTTATTTCTTAGTGATAATTATATTTACAGTACTAAAAAAAATAGAAAATGTTGTATTATATACTTGGGTCTTAGAGACCTATTCAATTTATCTCTGCAGCTTTTATTAGAATAGAGACTGGAGACTACAATAATAGTCAATGAGGTTTTGTCTTGATTGAATTTTTCAGTGGAACACAAAAGAACCTTGCCATTAAAATAGTCCTTTATTCTCCTGTATGAAGGCGAAAGGTTTTTAAAGTGTTGTGATGTTCAGTAATGAGCCTCTATCTAAATTATCATTGGTGACAAACTCACAAAGCACTTTTCGAGGACACATAGTTATGAAATGCCACGGCTGCCACTTTCTTTCCTGTAATTATAGGCTAGCTTGCAGCCCTTCAATGATCATTTATAGAACAGCCTCCAGTGGATTACTGAGAACTTGAAAAACACATACATACCTCTGCCACATCTCCCTTATCCTTTCCTCGCTATTGTTTACCAGTGATATGTAAAATAATGGTGCCTATTCATTCCCCCTATTTAATTATGCCAATCAAAGTACAGAAATAGTGTCGGAAACAAACACAAAGCAATAAGACCAAATAAATAGGCTAAGTATTAACATTAAATTATGAATTTATGTATTTATGACTATTTTGTGCTCAAATTATTCTCTTTCATGTTTTTATAACCATCTCAGGTACTACATATTGCTGTTCAAAAATTCTCTATGATTTATAAATCAAGAATGAGATAATACTGAAAAATGAGAGGATCGGTGGATTTTTTGCAGTCAGTGCCTAATTGCTGTTTCAAAATGCATATGCAAAGGGACATTTCATTAATCATTTAATCATGTCCCTTGCAGGAAGTTGGAACTAATGTTGCCAATACCCTTTTCATATGAATTCTCCATGATACCATCTTACGCATTTGATATATTGCCTATGTCATAAATTATGGGTTCTTACAAAGGACCGAGTGGGATTGTTATCCCAGAAGATGCTTGTTAGAAAACCTTTATTAACTTTCTTGTTTTACTTATTGCTAGTTCTATTTCACAGCTTCATACTAGCCAACAATAATGCTTTTGGTGGCAAAGGTCTGTAAATTACCCATGCAATCACTAACACCATTTCACAGGCCTGTTCTACTTCTACTGGTCTGCTAACAAGGCGATTACACACAAATTACTGAATGCCTATGAAATATTTAAATGCATTCTACTCTACTATGCATTAATAAGAGCAAAGCAAGCTCTGGAATTCTGGTTAGCTCCAGTCCCTAATGTCCCCTAATGAGCCTCTTACCGAGACTGCAGTTCAAACAGAGAGGTGAAGAAAAAACGTAAAGGGGGCCTTCAGAAAGGCAGCACTGAGCAAACATCGTGGGAGCCACTTCTAATTTATGGGTCACTTTATAGCTATATTGATTTTTGTTTTCAAAATGGAATAAATGATGTGGTCGACTGACGTTCTTTAAGAACTGCATTGAATCTGTGTGCTAGGTAGGTAGTGGGAACTACAAGGAAAAAAAGTAAATAGACAAAGTCTTTCTAAAAACAATTAAGCAAACACTTCAGGAAGACAGAAAGTATAGGGGGAAATCTTTCCAATTTATTTAACCTACAATTCCCTTCAACTAAGCTTTTATGGTTAGGGATGCATGTGTTAACTTCAATTATACACACTGCAGATTAGCAATTCAATTTTAACCTCTAGATTTTTTCAAATTCATTTAAAGTTAGAGCATTTTATAAGCTAAAAGGGGAGATGTGCATAAATCCAATTGTCTCAGAGACTGTCTTAACAAAATGTTTCACTTGCGCATCACTGGGGGTTGATTTATTTTGCATCAAGCTTTTTATGTTTAAGCACTGACAGGAGTTTAAATACAAAATGTTAGCTGTCACTATTCATTTAGCTGATTATGTGAGATGCCTTAGTTTTGAAAGATATGGGCACTGTCACCAAAAGAAACAACACTCTGACAAGTTCAAAGAATGCCTTCTACAGGTCATAATTTTGTAGCCTTGATGCCTAGTGAGAGGCAAAGAAGTAGACAATACACTCTAAGTAAGAACATACATTTTAGAGTAGTTGGCTGCAAAGGAAAGAAAACAAATTTCCACTAAATAAATAAATCTGTTCCCACCGTTTTTTTTTTTCTTTTTCTGCTCTTCATTCTACAGTATAAAGTCTCAAAGAACCAATCACCAATAATCTTCATTCACTCATGTTCATTGTCTAATTAATCTTTAGAGTGTTGATAGATACATAGAAATTTTAAAGAAAATGAGCCATCGTTACTTTTGCAAAGGACAGTATTTCTGGTGCTGCATCTCACCCTATGTTTTGTTTGCTGACACCTGTGCAGGCAAGTTCAAGGACATTTGTGTGCTAACTGGAATGCTACACTCTAAACCTTTTGGCTTAGGCTTTGAAACTCAGTATGTCTATATTTAAGCTGCCTTTGGTGCAATGTGATGGTAATTATTTCTACAGTCAAACTACACTAAAGTTTTGTCAGATGTGATTACACTTTGACATTTATAAGACAGTAATGAAGAAGAAGTATTAATGCCTTTAGTGATCTAGTGAGATCACTTAATTGCTGGTCAGAAAAAAGAATGATTAAGTTCTGTCAATTCTCACTTTCCAGTAAGTTACAATTTTCTCCTGAAGGATTTTACTTGGACCTTGTGTTGTATATTTCTTCTCTTTTATTGTTAAACCAATATCTGTATTAATGTTTGTGTATTGTTCAGTATAAAATTATACTCCACATGTTACTAAATGTGTAGGTAAAGTAAAATTCCTGAGAAAAATAACATGTGGTTTCTGGGAACATATATATGTATGTATCATATATATATTCATAAGTCTACATATATGTACATATATATGATGCTGAGGGAAGTTTTTCTTGAATAAATTAAGTGTTTTATTTCTTTTCAAATTTCTCACATATCTTTAAGTAAAAGACAACACCAGTACAGGAAATATGTCCAATTAATATTTCACGTCAGTGTAGTATACTGTCATTAATTATGCACCAAATTTATCACAGATCTTTAAATTAGAGAATATAAAGCATACCCTTTAAAAAATTTGGTAGAAGGAATACCTTAAAATCTAGTCAATTGTTCTGTCATTCTTATAAAGCGAGTGGGTAGAAAAGTAGTTAGTCTTTGGAAGCCAAAGTTGATAGGTAATTGAAACAAAATGTTTTCTCAATTGTAACTTCTCTAATTAAATGATCCCATGTGGATATGAAAAAAGGGCTATGGACTGATCCTACATTCCAAACAGCTGGACAAAACAGCCCTACAGACTACAGCTAGGATATCTGAATCTTCTTCGAATCCCCCAAGACAGCGCCCCTTACCAGCAGGAAGTAGTTTGGAAAGAACGACGCCCAAATTCCCAAATATTGTGTATAAATGTTTGTTTTCATTTAATTGGACTTTGTTATATAAAATTAAATAAAAAATACTCTATATGCAAAAAAAAAAAAAAAAAAAAAAAAAAGAAAAAAGGGCTATGGAGGAAAAAGCAGGAGTTCACATTTACTCACTTGCTAGTGATAAAAAATGAAATACTGGAGGTGTGTGAAAAATACGTTCCATGTGTCTTAAAGGAGAAGGATGCCTTTGCCTTCAGAAAGTGAGCCCGATTTTAATGAAAATATATTTAGAGCAATAAGATGCATATAAACAATGTTATAAGTTCAGTTTTCACTCCTACAACATAGCATCAGTCGCCTTAGGAACAACCTGGTCATAGCAGATGATATATAACAATGATAGAGATGAAAGTTATGAAATTACTGTTACGATAATTTATATTGCTAGATTTTTTGTTTCAGCCATTTTTTTAAGTAGACAACTTAAACAAAGCTACTTAACAATTTTTAAATACCCTCTTTACTGGGAATAGCATAAAAAATTTCACACTCAGCAAAATGGCAGCCCACAGTTGGTTTGGTGTAACAGACATGTAAGTTTTCATTTGAGTCCATTTCTAAAGGGCCGTTGTGATATGTGAAGCAAATTTTCCCTTAATTGGTCTGAAACTATGAAAGGTTAAAAAAAAAATCATCATGGCAGTCTTCCTGTAATCATTTATAAAGGTATTATGATACCAAGTGCTTGCCTTGTTGTTAGGGAGCTTTGGCTCTGTACTCTGCAGTCAGTCTACCATTTGTAAACACATCTTTTTGATGTTTCTGCCAACATCCTGGCAACAAAGCAGTGCAATTTCAAATGAGCTAATTAACTTAATTGTTGATGAAGCATGAAACAGTTCATTCACCCTGTTAGCTGCACCATGACAACACAAGTGGCTCAGCCTGTGAAGTTACTCATCTCCATAAACCTGTCTACAGCTCTCTGTTCCTATCTTCTCTGTGCCAGCACTGGGTGCAGACAAATCATTCAGGGAAAGGGGATGTTCTCATCTTCAGAAGGACCCCTGAAGAATCTCTGAAACTAAACTAAAATTTTGTGGGCAGTTAAATAGGATGTACAGGGTTAGATGTTATGCTGGAGGAATTATGTAATCTTTTCTCCAAGCAGACCATCAGAAATGGCAAAGGTAACAATGTGAGTGAAACGTAGCTTTCTTTAAATGTTAGATATCACTGAGTTCATTTTTTGATTCTTTTTATTAAAAGTCATTATTGAAAGTAGAAGTACAAAGTCTGTCACTTTAAATAAACCTACAAACTATGCCTATTTTATTCCACTTAGAGATATTTTATGCTTATTCAAATATTACATGAAACTATTACTGAAAATTTCAATTTTCAGAGAATGTTCCTTTACAAACCTGTCTCACCATCATGGCAGGCTCATAATTCCATTGATTCAAAACCTTTCAAATATTTTGCAAAATTACTTAAATAAAGAGATGAATATGACCTATTAACAATCTTAATCTGATTTTGCCAATCTACTTGTTGAAACAAACTGAAAAACTCAATTGTGTTCTAGGATGGATCCATCTCTTCATCCTCCCTTTATGTTGTGTCTATTATACTGAAATGTACCAGAATTACCATAAAATCTGCTTCCCTTTCCCCATGAAAAGTGAAAACCTACTTCAAAAACTGTCCAAAATCTTCACATATGCTTTCACAGCCTGGCCACTTGCAAACTCCATGGCCATATAGAGTGTGGGAGGCCCCAGTCTCCTCGTGTGATGAGCTGTAGCGAGAGAACACAAAGTCAGCTTCAGCTCAGAAAAGCCATAATCGTTGCAGGCTGCTAGCGCCTGTCAGGGTACGATCAGTGACAAACAGGTCAAAACAGGTCAATTCAGCTCAGAGCAGTCAGAGAAATTTAATCGTTCTATTGAATAGTTCAACTGCCAAGGCTAGATGATGTTCCAATTAGAGGAGAAATAGAGCCAAAGATGACTGTTAATAAAGGATGAAAAACTAAGAGTATTGTATAATATCATATGCTAATCCTGCCATATGACCTTACTGTAACATTTTACCTCTAAATAAAAAACAATATAACCTTATGTATGGAGTGGGAAAATATATTTTATGAAAGCCATATGAAAAAAAATCATCATAATGCTTTTGCAATGATTCTTTGAAACGCAATATGAACATTAGGGTCTTAGCAACGAATATTCATGTGTAAACCATACATACAAATATTCCTAGTAGCTACAGATGATTTGAAAAATCCTACTTTGGAACAGTATCTATTAGCAATATCCTTACATAATTATGGCAGGTCTTTAATAAGTGGGTATTATATCAGATAGAGAGATCCTAGAAAAACTAACCTATTTCTGAAGTATATAATCATCAAATTAATCTCAATTAAAACAACAGCATGAAAGCATCCAGAGGCCCTGCATTCTGTAATGAAAACTAACATGAAAACCTACATGTGCTCAGATGAATGCCGGGAAAATTACCATACTTTGGTCCTCTGTTTTAAACAGTGCTGTAATTTCTCTTTCGTTTCATTGGGGAAAAAAAAATCTATGGCCAAGTATTAGGTGCATTTAGAAAAACATGTTGTTATGTGACAGAACACCATCAATCCACTACATGTTCCTTTGGGAGCAGGCCAGTCTGTGTGTGTGTTAGCTACTTCATTGGGAAAGTCAGCGCCTAATCTTCAGGTTTTAAAACCAACTTTTCACTTATAGAAATTTTTAGATTATGCACTTTATGTGAGTTATTTCATATGATTTGAGTAGAAAGTGATATGCTTAAGCTAGTGAAATTATGTTGGGAGAAAATACCTGGATGCTCCTTTTGAAGGGCAGTTTTAACACAACTAAGATGAAACACTAAGTTTAGAAGTTACTTCACACAATGCAAAAGTCAAATGATTTCTCTGCATTCATTTTCAATTAAATTTATTTGAAATATCATCAATATATATTCATTTAAAATATTTACTAATTCCATCACATGACAACAATAAGCAAGCAACTCTTATCATCCATATTCTGGATTACATAATGTTTAGCTACTTTCTAACTTCTAAATATATATTTGAAATGTGAGTTAAGGAGAAAATATGCTTGCACACACTTTTAATTATTTGAAATTTATAAACTGTTTTACTTAAAATGGGAAAATGTTCTCATAAGTCTTGAGTTAATTCACAATGTGATTTTCAAAATATATCAATACAATCATACCCTGCCTACTCAGGCACAAATTAATTTCTTTAGCCTTGGTCCCCAACTGTATCTAGTATACTGGTGGCATTTGAAGTTCTCTTAGAGTTTAAAATAATGAAAGGTCAACAATAATGAATTCTTTTTCTCTTGCTCTAAGTATATTTTTGTTGCAGGTGTAAATTATCATTTTAGTTTTGCCAGTGGAGAAGAGAAAATACAGATGTAAGTAGAGAGTGCAGTACCTGTCCCGCCTTGCATTCAGAACCGAAGACTGTCCATTCACTATGGAATGATGTGTTATTGGTGGTGATGCTTTGGAAGTGGTGGAGGAGGTAGTCGAGGAGGAATTGTTGGTTGTGAGGTCTAGCCCTCCATGTTTAATGCCATTGTCTTCCATACTGTGGACTCCAGTCACTTCTTTCCATAGTTGCTGAATCTCAGCAGGACTTAGGCCAGCTACAAAATGAAAGAAAGCCTCACTGATGTAACAGGTAACATTAAATACGATGGGCAAAGGATTTGTAAAAGGATTAATGCCATAGTCAACATTAATACATGATAAAAACACTATTCTACCACCAATATCAAAGTTTTGTATACCAATTAAAAGCTCTTTGTTTGAAAATAGTACTGAGAACTATGTTTGAAAATACACGGTTAATAAAAATCTCTATATGTTCTATTTAAAGTTTAGATGATCAGATTTAATTTAAAGGTAGAATTATTAGTGAGAAGAGATGTTATAAATAACATGCCAAAAGAAATGAAAAGCACAAAAATAAAAATACAAATATCAAAATCAAATAACAAACATACAACTGGGGGTGGTTGGAGAGGGAGAAGGATAGACAAACAGAGACAGAAAGAAGGGAAGGGAGAAAGAAAGAAAGAAAAAAAAGAAAGAAAGAAAAGGAAGGAAGAAAGGAACAAAATTAGCAATTATCTGGCCATAGTAATCTTTCTCACAGAAGCCAAGTATGTAATTGAATTTCAATTTAGGTCCTGAATAAACCAATATGATTACCTCCATGGTTCATTTAAGTAGATAATATCTAAATCTCTCCTTCAGTTATTACTGGTTAATAGAAAACCCAACTTCTCACTTTAAACAATTTCCTGGATCACATTATTTATGTTTACCTCATAAACAACAATGGCAATATAAAGGCTTGGCATGGGCTTTAGATTTTGACTATTATCTAGAAGAAATATTTTGAAATATCATAAATGATTATTCTTTACAAAAAAGTGCTTACATGCACTGTCTGTGATCACAGGGTTTAAAAATATTAAAGTTGTGATTTAAATTACATCCCTAACCCAAGTGTTATCTCAATTGATAACTGCTTGCAATGCAAAATTAGGTCTGCCCAAGGTACTTTCACAAGGGAAACAAACCACTTTTAAGGGTAGACCCCAGGACATGAAGTAGATGCTTTTATTTTTTAAAACGAAATCAATGGACTTATTGTTTTGTTTTGTTTTTTTTCTCATAATGTTGTGTCAGGATAGCGTGTGTGTGTTTGTGTGTGTGTGTGTGTGTGTGTGTGTATGCAACTATGTGCATTTCTTGTAGATTTTCTTTGGCTCTTTATCTTCTGTTTGTTCATTTTGTACCATTGCATTTTTTATCTTATTTTATTTTGGTTTGTTTTATTATTAATCCTTAGATGCTTACTTGCTTTTTAACCAAGGACAGAAAGGTTGTGGATCTGGATGGGAATGGTGGGAAACAGAAAAACTTGGGGGAGTTGGAATAGAGAGAGGAAACCATAACTAGAATATAGTATATGAAAAATAATTTCAATAAAAGAGATTATAAATACATCTATGGCAGACTGACTTAAATAAGTTTGCTATTAAAATACTATATTAGGAAAATATTAAGTAACTAAATGTTTATTGCAAGAAGTGAAGCTACAATTTCAATTACTGTCATTTATTGAACACATAATATACTCTGAAGCTTTTGCCAAATGTTTTAAACTCCTGAATACAATAAACTTCACTGTATGTCAGGACTCATAACTTACAGGTGAGTACAAGGCTCACTTCAGTTCAAACATTGTCCTCCATAATACTGTGTGATTCTACCTCTAATATCATGTAGAGTTTCATAGAAAAACAAATCAATTCTCTATTAACATATATCTACACCAGAAGCTGGAGTAAAGGACAAAGGATGTATGGCGAGTAGAGTAAGATATTAGAGATCCAGGGATGAGAGTGAGCACTCTTTTCTTTAGCTGTGTGCATGAAGAGATAGAGGTAAATAGCCAGTAGCCAAAATTCTTACTGGCCCAGTTGTAACTTCTTGCCAAATCATACTTCACAGTGGTAACACTAACCTGCTTTGCATATTACAAGTTGAGATATTGTTATTTTATCCAAAGTTATCTTTTTGGTAATTCTGGATCCTTAATATTTTAAGGCACACTTTTAAATAATAGGAACAACAGGATAATCTAGCTTTCTAAACCTATTTTGGAATAACTTCATTTTTTTCCTGTTTTTTTAAGGTGGTTTTCTAATGGTATATATGTCTTTTTTGTTGTTGTTGTTGCATAGGAAACATATATATATATTGTTGTTTTAAAGGAATCATTAACTCAGAATCATGAAACTTTTTTGATCTTATCTTTTTTATGACCTATCTTAATGTGTTAGATGTCCTAAGAGTAGATGGGAAGCTCCTTCCTTTTTAGCATCTACATATCTGCTGGATGCCATACTGCTGCTTCCCTGTCCTATCTCCAGCCTATAGCCTAGAGTGACACGAGATCTTCATGGTCTTCTCTCACTTTCATTGGACTTGAATTATACAAATGTGTTCTTCATAGAGAAGCCCCAAATGATCTTCTTCAATGTAAATTAAGTCATGTCCATTCTCAGACAAAGCCTGCAGGAATCTTTTTGAATGATTACATACAAAGTGAAAATAAGCAAAGAAATAAACCAACCAACCAACTCAACAAAAACCTGACCCTTACTGTGGCTATCAATACTGCATCTACTTCCTCTTGCCTGACCCCAGCTGTCACCTTCTCCATATTTCTTTACACTGACGACATCTGCTGCTTTTTGCAATGTTTCAAACATTCATTCATGTTCTGTCCTCTGATCTGGCTATTCCCTGAGCCACAAATACTCTCATTGAGAATATCTTCAAGGTTTTCTCTTTCCCTTCACTTAGATGGCTTGGAAAATGACCCTTCTGATAGTCTTTGGCCAAAGTAGTAACCAACGTCCTCCTATCCCTTGTCTTCCACCATTCCTTACTACTGGATTACTTTTACTCAACGATATTAATTTAGCTTCTGAAATTATGCAAAGACTGGTCTGTCCATGGAAGTATGCCACTTTTTTTTTCTGTATCTCCCACTCTATCTTCCTCTTGCTTATGCTATTTCATTACCATCCTGTCATTCTACTGAAGTTTGTTTGACAAACAAGATCAGGTTTTTCTTTACTGTCATGTTCCACCCCCTTAAACAGTACCTGCTATGTGCTCAGTAAAGACAGTTGATGTATTTGTTTGCAATGGAGTAATATGGTTCTTGAAGACCCGTTGATGGCCACACTGAAGTTTGGTTGATTTAAAAAGTATCTTATGTACAAGCATTGCTACCTGTAAGATCATTGTCTAAAGAGTTACCGATGGTACTCCTGATTTCTAATGTACATTGAGTCACTACTGACAATCAGAATATGTACATACTTACTATACTTTGAGAGAGTACAGTAGTTAATTTGTTATTTATATTTAGTTTATAGTATTCATTAGTATTTGAATGATTTTCATGGCACTCGTCATTTATATAGAAATTACTGATATTTTCATGTAATAAAAAGATGGCAAGTGCTAAGCACTTAGTATCACCTACAAAAGTTTTATGATTAACCTCCTTACCATTTAAGCAGCACTTGTGAATTAAATAGACAAAACATAGTTTTTTTCAATTATTAGAGAGAAATGGCACAGTGGTTACCCTTTACACTGGCATACTACAATATTCTCAGACTATTAAAAAAGACATTCCATGCACTAACCACACATCACAGCTGTGAACCACAGTTGTGGAGACGGATTCAGATTTAAGTTTCACAGTGATTCCAGAATTCAAATCACCCTTAGGTTAAATTCAAAGGAGAAACTATTATTTTGCTTTGGGGACAAAATTTTCCATTTAATGATTCTTTAAACTCTTCTTGATGGACACAAAACAATGCATAATTATTAAATCACTAGCTGGTCAGTTTGTACAGTTGACAATATTTTATGAGTTTGTAAGTCTTAAGGTTTCTTTTCCAAATGTAACATAAAGTTCTGTTAGCTAGTAGTACTCTGTTGTTTCACAGTCCTCCAGTCCTGCTTTTTTATAGATATGTTATGTGACATTCGTGACCTAAGTGAAATAATTCTGGAATGTCAAGAAACAAAGAAAACCGAACTCATTTTTTTTTTTATCTCAATGTTTTCCCAAAACATTTGAGAAAAATGATAAACTTATTCTACAATTGTATTAAGTTATACTTGGTTAAGTTTTAAGTCCTACACTTATATGTAGCCTATGTTCCAAAACACAGATATTCTAAACTGAGTTCCTTGTTGTAGAACATTCTTCTGCTAAAGCATGCCTCCTTTAGCTTTCCTTGTGAGCTATTACAGATGCCATAATTTCATACAGTTCTATGCATTCATGGCTCTAAGAACATCTACAGAAAATTAATACAAAGTACCTCAAGCCATATTTACTAGATTTTAGAATGGTTAGAAATAATAATGGTGGGTTGAGGCACTGGCTCTCCATTTATGGACATTAAGACATAATTTAGTTAAGTGACTGTAGACATGGTACAATGTACCTGGTTCATATGACTACACCTTAATACTTCTTCCCTGACAACTCTGTCTAAATGTTCTTATGTTCTGTCTGCTTTCTTAAATTGCAAGATATTTTTCAATTCAGCTAGAACATTAGTATCCTGGCAAACATATTCTTGGGAACAGATGATTTGAACATTAAAGAATAGTAATCTAATTTTGTCTTGAGTGATGATTATTCAGTTTCTTAGAACCTATGTCAAAGACACATGTAAGTTCTAGAAACTTCTATTAACTGTATAACTTTAAAAGTCCATGACAACAGAATGTCAGGAAATGATCTACTTTTAAATGATGGCTTTAACTTGGTTCCTATTCACCACCAGTCATCAAAAAAAAAAAAAAAAAAAAAAAAAAAAAAAAAAAAAGGGAAATGTTTATCAAGATTTAAGTCAACACAAAGACGAATCATTGAGTGAGCAGCTTGTTATATAGCAGGAAAAACAAGTCAGTGTTAATCCGTTGCCCCTTCTTTCTTAAATTATGGAGCAAATGCAGGGTGCCAAGAATTGTTCTAGGAGATAAGGACGATTGGATAATTCAAGCATTTTACAACCAGGGAGTGAACACA